GTTTCCTCTGCTCTGGGTGACATCCACATAGGGATTTAAGACAGCTGTGCTTTCTAGGTACCTACCACCTGCTACGCTAAGCAGGGTGCTGTGGTTCCCAATCTCAGCAAAATAGTGGTGGATGCTCAAATAGAGAGAGGGAGGGTGATTGTTGCAGGGGGTGGGAAAAGCATTTTGAAGAGGACAGAAAAGGAATATATACGGGGTGACTTCTATTTCATTAAAACCATGCCTTAGAGATTTTACTATCTTTACATATGATTTTATAGTAGTCTTACAAATACGTATTCTTGAGTAGTTCTATTTTTAAGACTTTCTTTTTTAAAGACTTTCTTCATTTTGTTTTCCTTTTCCCCCAGGAGAGATGCCATCTCTTATTTTTAAATTTTCTTTTAAATAATTTAATTTTATAGTGCCCTCAAGACCAAAAATATGTCAGTTTAGTGGGGCAAGATGTTTAATTGCTTCAGAACATTCACATTTTGAAAAATAAACATGTTTCCTTTTCTCCTTGGTCAATTTGGCAGCATAAAGTGACTTATTTGTGGCTGTTATTTGTCTCTACAATTTCCCTTAATAATAGGTTTCACCGTCTTTATATTCATGAAGCATTTCCTTATGTCTGGACCAAATCCCTTTTTGCTCTAATTTGAGGCCAGTGACTCTGTGGAGTTGCTCACAATTGTCTATTGGATAGACAAACACTTGGAGTTTGTTTTGAAAACTCACTGCAGCCTTCTCTAGGCTAGAATAAACAATCCCCAGCTTCCACAGCCCTCCTTAATGACATTATAATACACTCATGAAAACGTGCTTATATACGAAGTTGGACATAGTTCAACAATCTCACGACTAGTTGAGAAAAACGAAATACAAAATTGACTTAATTCTGGTCTCTCTTGTAGTTGAATGATACTTTAAGTTACAAAGTATTTTTCATAAACAATGGCCCATTATTCCTCAATAATAAATCTGTGAGGTGAGGTCACTAACTCCTGGACCATATTACCAGTAAGTGGGACCCAAGCCTCACTCTTCTGAGACACAGACCAGAGGGATTTCCACTACTCAGCAGCTATCTGCACAGCTCTGTGCTTAGTGTTGCAAAAGATGTACTATAACTACATGCTATATAAAAAGAATATATGAGGGGGGTCTTCAAAAAATTCATGGAAAATATGTATTGTGAAAATAGTATGCATGTGCAATCAAAATTGTTTTGCACCAAAATAAACTCACAGTATCTTGTTATAACATGTCTGAATGAAATCTAGTTTGAGGCACTAAAAAGGATAAGACATCAGTTTGAAAAGAGCCCCTGCCAGAGCAACATGAATTCTGTTAAAATCAAAACAAGAATAAACGTTTATGGTGACTCTTGGGTGGAAGAATGGTGAAATCGTCAACACTTGAGAGTAAGTCTTGAGAGATAATGTCCCAAACAAATCAGCAATTTACAAATGGATAACTTATTTTAAGAAGGAATGAGATGGCCAGGCGTATCATCTCACACCTGTAATGCCAGCACTTTGGGAGGCCAAGGCAGGAGGATCTCTTGAGCTCAGGAATTTAAGACTGGCCTGAGGAAGAAAAAGACCCCCCACACACACAAAAAAAGAAAAATTAGCCAGGCATGATGGGGCAGGCCAGTAGTCCTAGTTACTCGGAAGGCTGAGGCAGGAGAATTGCTTGAGCCCAAGAGATTGAGAGTTCAAGGCTGCAGTGAGTTACAACAGTGAGGCCACTGCCCTCCTGCCTGGGGGAAAGAGAGAGATCCTGTCTCAAAAAAAAGAGAAAAAAAAAAAAGTCATGACATTTGAGATGCTCAACAGATTTTGTTTCTCAGCTCTCTGGAGGGTCAAAGAACAATAACATCTGCTTATTATGAGAGTTTTTTGAGAAAGCTAATTAAACCTTCAGCAGAAAACACCCAGGAAAGCTTCACCAAGGAGTCCTTCTCCACCACGTCAACGCTGCTGCTCGTACCTCTCATCAGACGAAGGCAATTCTGTGAGGGTTTCAATAGGAAATCACTGGACACCCATGTTAAGGTCCTGCTTTGGCTCCTTCTAACTTCTTTTTATTTCCTAATCTTTAAAAAAACCTTTAGTGTAACGCATTCTTCTTAGTAAAACATCACACGGACACAGAAGCAAGAATCCAATGTAGCCAATTCTAATAGGAAGGCAGGAGATGAGCGAACACAAGGAGGGTTACAGTGTATGGCACGCTCTTAGCGACGGGATGCAATTATAAGAGGGGCTTTGACAAATGCGATCAATGTAACCTAATTCTTTGTACTCTCAACGAATCCCAAACCATAAAAATAAATAAATAAAATCTTTAACGTGCTCCCATTTTTCTTCAGTTAATCACGTTAAACGGGTTGTATTGACATCACTAAATTCTCAGGGCCCCCAGTTCTGTAGGGATAGACTAAATTGCTTACACAAGTGTCTTGAGCTTGATGCAGCTTCTGTTAAGAAAGTTTATATATTTTTATTTTTATCTTTTAAACATTTGGAAGTCCCCTACTATGAGTAATTAATGCCGGCAGACCTGCTCATCGGGGTAAAGCAAAAGGTCTTGGGAAGGAAGTGGGATGAGTTGAGTTCTGAGTGTTAAGTAGGGGTTGAGTCTGCGGAGAAGAAAGTTCAGAGCATCCCCAGTACAGGGGACCTGCCTATGGGAAGGCATGGTTTGTAGGATCATTGCGCCGTAAGTTTGTCTGTTCTTAAAGTAGAGGGCATATTTTGGGAGGTGATAAAAGTTTATGATTAAAGAACTAGAGCTGCAGAGTCCCAGAGCCCTGGGTTGAAATCCTGGTTTCACAACACACTAACTTTGTGGTCCAGGGCAATCCTTCACCTCTTCTGGCTTCATTTTCTCATCTGTAACATGTTTAAATGTAAGAATTGATGTAAACATGCAATAAACTTCAGCTATTATGGCACCAAAGAAACTACTAACGTGCAGCACCAAGTAAGAATAAGGGGTACGTATGGGTGTTCCTAGATCGTCTCAGAGCATCTTACATCTCTAGGCTGTGCCGTGATTCCAGAACAGTCTTATCCTCACCACCCAGTTCCTCGTGCTAATGCATAAGATCATTCCAATTTCCACTATCATTGAAATGGTAAAGAAAGAAGCATGATTTTGTGGGCAAATGACTTTATCCTTTCCACAGAGATAACTTTAGTTCTCACTGTTGAATATTAGTGAGTTCAATGAGCCTAATCACACGCATGCAGGCACACACACACAAACTAATAGGATTCAAAAATATAATTGGCCTAAACTGTCATTTGCTTTCTTTCTTAGAATGAAAGTTCTAAATACATGTTGTGCATGGTTTGCATTTTCCTTCCATCAGGATGACTATTTCTGTAAACATTCACCTTTCGTTTGTGTCCCCAATCCTGAACCAGACCTAAAGGAACACAGCTGGAATGACAGTTCATCCACAGGGGCTTGAGTCTAACCCTGAGGACTCCCAAGGAAATGTGTCACACCTGTGACAGCCTGCTCTGGACAAAAAGAAAAATTAAATGACCAGTTTAGGGGACCGTGGAGCCGGCTTGTGTTGGAGAAGTGAGAGAGGCAAGCATATGCCGCTGTGAGGTTGATGGGCATTCAGCATGAATTATTACATTTAATCCCCTGTGTTATCTGGAATAGCAGGTCTGCCTGTTAACTTGGAGAGAGGCAAGAAAAGAAAAGAAAACTAGTTAAGGTGGCACGTGCTTGCTCATCTTCTGCCATCCAACTTTCTGTTCTTCATCTTACCTGCACTAAGGGCTTCCCCTGCTACAGACACCATCAATCCACACTGAGAGTTTCAGTACGAAGTTCTCGTGACCTCTACCATGTCCATGAGCAATCTCCTTACTGCAGCTAACGTGGGCTCATACTTGTCCCAGGCTGGTCTGTTGTAGGCTTCCCCTACAAAAGTATTACACTTCCCCTATCTAAGTATTACACTTTTATTTCCGAAATGCCTCAAGACAACAGAACTCAAACACTTGACCTGATTTAAAGAAAAGCAACACACCCCTGCATACTTTTAAAAGTCAAGTCATGACTCAGTCTATCCAGTAGACTGGAGATCTTCAGAAAGGAGGAGCTCCACGCCTCAACCCCAAAAAACAGATGTTAGAAATAGTTCAAGAAAGAGAAATTCAATTATAAAATTGTACGATATAAAACTTCAAAAGTTCTGAAAGGACTCGAATGATTTTTTTCATTCATTCTTCTTTTGTACAAGAGTAAGAATCAAACCACTTACATCAAAGAAAATGAAATCGTCTTGCTTTGTTTTCAAGATTTTCACTCTGTCAGAGGATACAACTCTGTAAATTTTCTTGGCAATCCATTCTAAAGTTGAACAGTTCTCCTGTCTGGAATGTATTCTGGTATAACCTAGTTTGAATCCATGTATTCATTTATACTCTTAGTAGAAATGTAGAAAATCTGCTTTTAAACTTTATTGAGAGGATGTTTAGATCCCTGAAGACCTTTATCACTGTTTATCTTTGCTACATTTGCTACTTCTAAATCTAGAAAATCTGATACATGTTTTGGTAAGATTTGTGGCAACAGTCATGCCTTACAGTGTCTCATCTGGACCCACGCGTACCGTGTGCGTGAGTGTGTATGTGTGTGTTGCTCTTTTAAAAACAGAATTACTACAGAACCCCATCTGCGTGGGACATCTAGAATTCTTGCCAAATTCCCTTTTTTTCAAATCTAATAATCCAAGTCCCATTGAATTTTATTTCAAAATTCATTTATAATCTTCAAAACAAACTATTAAAGAAGCAAGAACCACCCTGGTCCTCATATGTAGCTATGTATCTAGGGCGATTTAGAGTCAAGTTTCCTAATAACTGAGAATAAGTAAATGAGCTTTTTGTTTATTTCCTCCTAATGTTAGGATTCTGTGAGACGGAACCAAATATACCATCAGACATCTGCCTGTCTAATCGGTTTGCAGCCCTGACAGAGGCTCTGCGGACCAGATGAGTTCCAGGGTCATCCTTGCACGGGGCCATGCTGATCTTCTCTGCATCGTTCCGATTTTATGGATGTGCTGCCAAAGTGAGCACAAGTGGACAGACGAGCAATGAGTTTTGTGACCGGCTTGAAATGTGCACGGGTGGGACTTATCTCAGGAGTGCAAGTCGAATATTGACTGACAATTTACAGGGTTCCCATTCACCCAGGTGGAGTTCAAAGGTGGCTTTCTGGTGGTTTTCCCCAAATGAAGTGTCAAAAATACTCAGATATAATTGAACAGAATATATTCATCATTCAAGTTATGTCCCATTACAGACATACTATCTATAGTGCACTTTAAAAATTTTTAATAAATCCTGTAATTGTTTTATGAAAATCACAATTACAGCATTGCTTATGTATTAAAAGCGTTAATTTATTAACCATCAATATTTACAATATACTACAATTTTTATAGCCCTAATATAAGATTGGGACATGGTCTGGTCTCCCTACCTTTGGGAGGCCCCATACATGTAAAATCCCATCTTGGCTTCTGAGCCTTTCAGTAAGCACCCACAAGTCCCCATGTGTGGCACTGAGCCAATGTCCTAAAGAAGCAAGATCTGCCTTTAGTGACCTGATGCTTTGATGGCCTTTGATCAGGCCATTGTACCAGAGCAGCCAAGATACAAAGCAAGACGTGGCCTTTCAGTAACCTTCCTTTCTTGTGTGAGAGTGAGACAAGTTAATTGGGCTTGACAGTACAGATGACCCTTTCAAGTCAGGTAAAATGAGCCTGTTGTGCTTATCACAGGTAGATAACCATTAATATTGCTTATACTGTCTTTGGGAAGAGAAAGGGGCTTGTTTGTTTTAAATGTTTTTCAAGGAAGGCAACAAAGATTCCCAGGAAGGGTTGCTGGCCAGCTCCATCTAAGGAGACAATAGAGCCATTGGTAGGGTTCAAGACACATTGAAAGGCAGAGAACACACTCCCATTGATAAATTATTATTATTGATAACCTCTTCTTTGTCCTTTATTCCACATAATTGTCACAGTTCAGACTGCTGGACCTAGTGGGCTCACTTTAGATCTGTGTTTAGAAAGTTATATCCGAAAAGGGAGTCTTTTTGTGTATTAGCAGTGATGCAACATCCCAGGGATCTGACCTGAGATTGTTTATCCTTTATTCAGCATTTTGTTTTCCTCACAATACATTCTGGGGAAATTTTTCCCTTTTTATTAGTTGGATTCTTTTTATGATCAACACCAATGACCATTCATGTATTCCCTGAGGGAGAGGGAGATTTCTCCAGCGCCAAAAAAAAAAAAAAATCATTCCCTTTTCTCATTAGGCAAAGTTTCCAGGGTGCAACGCCATCCACTCTTATTCCCTGTAAAGCCCCCCAAAAACTACAGGCTGCTCTCTAGGAATCAAAGGCCCTTAGAGATAGTGTGACTACCTCAAAGGTAGCTGACTGTTCCAGTTTCAGCAGTTCAGAATCTACTTTAGAAAGAAAGGGTGAGAGGGAGAAGAAGAGGGAGGGAGGTAGTAGGACTAAGGAGTTCTTAGGCCCCTGCAGTGGGCTCTGCTCCCTGCGCACACAGCCCTGGATGTAAGACCATGACCTGTGGACTGACGTCTCGTGTATCATGTCAGTAAACAGAGATTTGCAAATTACTCTGAGGTTTACTAGTGATGTGAGAAATCTGAGTCTTGTTGCCTAGCACTAATGGAATTTCATCATCAATAGTGTTAGCGGGGTCCAGGAGAGAGGTTTGTCCATGGGTCGTTCTAAGCTTTGTCAGTGGCAGCATTTCTTTTGGAGAACACCTTGAGAATGAATATCCAATACCAGATGACGTAATAATCCTATGTTTTAAAACATATCTTAATAATTCAAGAGGAGAAAATTATATTGTTGGAAAGAATCTTTAAACAAAAAGATATGCTTAGACCAGTAGCACACCATCCCAAACTGGAAAGAATCTAATTTTTCAAAAATGGAGGCCAACTGAGTAGTGAAGTGCCAATGCCGTGGAATGTTAACAACCCTGAAAATAGTAAGTGTGGACGTGGAAAAATATTTAAGACATATAAAGTAAAAAGAATTAAAATTCTATATATACAGAAGATCACTGTCATGAAATAATTTTTATGTATATAAAAAGGTGTTATAAATAAATAAAATGCATTTGATAGGGTTTCTGTCCTTTAGAAATTTCTAACATAATACTTCAAAACACAACAAACTGGCTCAGCGCCCGTAGCTCAGTGAGCAGGGCCCTGGCCACATACACCGAGGCTGATGGGTTTGAGCCCAGCCCAGGCCTGCTAAACAACAATGACAACTACAACCAAAAAATAGCAAAGTGTTGTGGTGGGCACCTGTAGTCCCAGCTACTTGGGAGGGGAGGCAGGAGAATCACTTGAGCCCAAGAGTTTGAGGTTGCTGTGAGCTGTAACGCCACAGCATTCTACAGAGGGTGACATAGTGAGACTCTGTCTCAAAAAACAAACATACAAAAAAATAACAAATTGTGGTATAAGTACACCATGGAATACTATTCAGCCATTAAAAATACAGAGACTTTACATCTTTTGTATTAACCTGGATGGAGTTGAAACCCATTTTTTTTTTTTTTACGGAGCCTCAAGCTATCCCCCTGGGTAGAGTGCCATGGCATCACAGCTCACAGCAACCTCCAACTTCTGGGCTCAAACGAGTCTCCTGCCTCAGCCTCCCAAGTGCTGGGACCACAGGCACCCACCACAACGCCCGGCCATTTTTTGGTTGCAGCCATTATTGTTGTTTGGCGGGCCCGGGCTGGGGATTCGAACCCGCCACCTTAGGTGTATGTGGCTGGTGCCTTAGCTGCTTGAGCCACAGGCGCCGAGCCGAAACCCATTTTCTTAGTAAAGTATTACAAGAATGGAAAAGCAAGAATCCAATGTACTCAATTCTAATAGGAAGCCAGTAGATGATCTAATACACGCTCACATCAGAGAAAAACTCCAATCAGTTCAAGGTGGGGGGGCAGGGGGACAAGGGAGCGGGGAGAGGGGAGAAGAGAGGAGGATGGGCGAGCTCCCACTTAACTGGCACAATATTAGGGTGTATGGCACACCTCTTGGGGGTGGGACACAATTATAAGAGGGACTTTACCTGACCAGTGCAAACATTGTAACCTAATTCTTTGTACCCTCAATTAGCCTGAAACAAACAAACAAACAAACAAAAAAAACTTTAAAACTGGTTTAATCAAAACTAATTTATAATAAAATTACTTCATGTTCAGTAAATGAGTGATTGTTGGCAGGGGTACCTTTCTTTATATCATCCTATAGATAAGGATGCTATTAGGAGGTTTGTTTAGGCACCAAACTTATTTCATAGATATTCTTTCATGATCAAAGGTATTAAGTGTGCTGCACTTGATACATTTGAAAAGAGCAAAACTTTAGAATCCAAGTCTTTCTTTCCGGGCATCATCAGTGGATAAAATTTTTATTTATCATCTAAAAAATAAAAACAGAATTACCATGTATAGTTTCAGAAAAATAGTGAAAGTATATTGTATAAACAGAACCAATTTACACTCATTTTGAAAATCAGTTCAAGAGCTTTTGTTGTTGGCTCGGTGCCTGTGGCTCAAGTGGCTAGGGTGCCAGCCACATACACCTAAGGTGGCAGGTTCGAATCCAGCCCGGGCCTGCCAAAAACAACAATGATGGCTGCAACCAAAAAATAGCAAGGTGCTGTGGCGGGCACCTGTGGTCCCAGCTGCTTGGGAGGCTGAGGCAGGAGACTCGCTTGAGCCCAGGAGTTGGGGGTTGCTGTGAGCTGTGATGCCATGGCACTCTACCCAGGGGGACAGCTTGAGGCTCTGTCTCAAAGAAAAAAGAGCTTTTGCTGCAACTTTAATAAACTAATAAAAATACTCTGAGTAGGGCATAATTTTATAAGCAAAACAAAAATTGGTTTTTTAAAGTTCTACACGTGACAAATGTGTTTGGATGATGTTTACTTCTTTGTTGTCTATGGAAGTCCAGCCTTTGGTATCAGAAGCTCCTTGGAAATCAAATAATTTGCTTTTCTATCATTTAAATATACCCCCACATACCTCCAGCACCTACCGCACGATCGGTGTCTAATAAATATTTGCTCAATTAACTAACAAATGAACAAACCAAACCAAATTTTAAATAAATCTTCTCCCCCTTTTAATTTCTATATCCTATGTTATATTAGAGTATGTTTAATAAACTAACACTACCATCTTTGACAGAAAGCCAAAAAGAATACAACATTCATTAGTAGAGTCAATTCTACCGTCAGCAGAGCCGGAGAGGCCCTCTGCTTTTACATCTCAGATACTTCTGGCTTGTTTTAATTTCTGATTATAAAAACCATATGTTACTTCCATAATTTTTTCAAATAAGATTAAAGAAAAGAGTGAATATGTTTTCTTTTGGCATGAACATTCACAGTTTAGGAATTTACTGTTCCTAAAAGGGTGGGGACCAAAGGAAGTTTTGAAGGTGCTGAAGCACAGAGACTTAAACAATTAAACAATGTAAACATTAAGATTCACATAACTAGAACTTAGAAAAATGCCGTTGATCCAGATCTCCCCAGTCCACCACTAAAGCAATTAAAGAGCGTGTTTTCTTCCCCCTTTAAAGCAATAGATGATTTTTACTAGACTGTGGGGGGTGGGAAGGGGGAATCGTGCTGTTTGCACTGCCTAAGGATGAGCACACTTTAAAGGAGTGGAAGCCCTTCTCTTTCCCCCCAGTAATTTTATTCCAGGTTAGTAAGAGCTTCTAAGACTGCTGTCAAAGTTACCTAAGAGTCTCAAATCCATGTCTAAACATTGAGGAGAGTTGACTCCAAAATTCAATTTATAATAACTTCAAAATGAGATAAATCTTCCCATGCCTAAAGATGTGTTAAAAAGAATTATTTAAAATGCAAAAGGATTTTCTTCCAGAGGCTACAGGAAGGCTAGGGGAATGAGAGTAACTTGACAGTGGTGACACCCAACGAACACTACCCCAGTCAAGTGATCAAGGTCAGAGCAACAGTGTTGAGCTAAGTCTTG